TTGTGGGACTCGTACTACCTGAAAGGGGGGGGGGGGGGGGGGTAAAATTGAGTGTCTATCTACCGAATACCGAGTTCAATACTGAAATGTTGTTTCTACACCTATTTTTTTTTTGTTTCTACGCCCAAACACATCCTCTGCAGACACGCTCCGTTCAGAAAATATGTACGTACCTTCAAGTTGGTGCAAGGCTGACTGATAAGCCATTCGACTTCCCGATTACGGCTTATGTTTCTCCACTGAACAGTGACGTTGTTTCGGATGTAGTATGCCGCACTGAGCGCTTCCAGAATGCAGCGATGAGCGCTGAGCGCCCGTCGGCCGCGTTAGCGTAAGCGCTGCCGTTGACGGTGTTTGAATTGGAGCGCATTATTTTTCGAGCAGAGCCGCCTACAGCTTTTTTATAATGATGTACTTTACACATGTTGCCATAGTAGTTGAAGAATGGTCTAAATGGTGAAGTCGATCAAGGAATTCTCCAGCACCGACCTGTGTGGTATCGATCGACGATTGGTATTATCAACGGAAAGTCTGCGCTAAGAGAACAACGCTCAGCGCTCAACGCTCTACTCTGAAAGAAGCCACTCGCAGCACCTGTTCGCCAGTGTGATGGGGTGGGAAGATCTGGATCCCCATTGCGAGATTACCGTGCTAGTCGTTAAACCTCTACAGCTTATCGTGAGGATTCGTCAAGAAAGTCCGACACTTTGTGGTTTCGAATTCTGATGGGAAAGCATAGTATGAAGTGCCTGTCCACAGTATCATTTTCGATTGCTATTTCTAGTGATCATACAATACCGTGAGAATGAAAATGAAAGTGAGAATTCAAATCACGTCCAAAAATTTACAGCACTCTAAAGGGGTGGAGCGCGTACGTGTACGTACTTTCCCGATTTTGTGAGTTCAGGCAACTTTCTTATTCTTGAATTAAACCTCAAATTGTCAGTAATTTAGTAGTATTTTTATATGCTACTGAAGATTTGCTGCTATAAAGATGAAACACAGTATTTTCAACTGTTTAAACGATCCAATGGGATACAAGATGTTCTACATTTGTTGCAGTAAGAATATCATATATCTGAACTGTACTATATGGAGCACGCTATAAGAGAAAACCCGTCCCCGGAACTGACGCGACTGCGACTTGTTTGAAGTTGTATACATCATAGACTGTCCATCGGCCTCCCAAAGCGTTATACCGGTATGGAGTATCGAAGCTACAAGAAATCAATTCATCTCAGAAAGATATCTCGTCAAAATGTGTGTTTTATTTTGTTTTAAAATATTTATTTGTACTCCAATTACCTGCTGGGCTGGCCGGATCCGATCGCGTGTCAGAGAGGGGAAGATTTGGATTACCTGAGTGAGATTACGGCAATTTCGCGAAACCACTGCTGGTTGCAGTGGGAATCCGGGTACAAATACCGCCACCCTTCTACACTAGGTGGTGTTAGTGACAAGCAAAACAACGTCTCTCATTCATCTAAATACAAGTCAGTTTTTTTATACTCCCAGACGAGTCTGGCACCAACTAGCGGGTCTGGCATCTTCTCCCCAAACGGCGTGTCGCGCTTGCCGCGCGCGATTGCGCACTATAAAGGGAAAGATTTGGCACTCAATGGAAGGATACGGAGAGTCGCCGCGGAACCACTGCTGCAGGCAGTGGGAATTCGGGGAGAAGTTCCGTTACACCCAATTAGCCGACCCCTGGAGTATGGAAGGCATGGATAGCTTAGTCGTCGGTCGGGATTAGAGTCCGTCACCGCACATGTGTGATAGCGCAAGACCTGCTACTACACCATCCCCCGGGGGACGGTACGAACGTGCGTCCGAGGGCGCGCGTGGCAAATTGTGCGGCGAAGTTTGTGACGATTTGTACAACTGCTGCGCCAATTTTCGGGGCAAAACCTCGAAGTAGGGTAGTTTAAAAGTTTCAGATGATGCTCCTAATCCACTTTATTCCAAATTCGGGCCCCAATGATAGGTGCCAAATCATTACGGATTTCGCCGTACAATTTGCGCGCGCACCTTCGAACGCGGAGAACGTCCGTTGCGCGCGTCCGTTGAAAGTAGGTCACACCGCCCATTTCGCGTGCGGCGACCCCACTGAGGTCTTTAGACGACATTACAACACCACCAAGTGTCGGTGGAGCTAATGATTTGAATTCGTCTGCGTTATCTTCTCTTTGGCTGACTGTCGAGGACCAAGCGCAACTCGTATGCCCCGCTGACAACTGCGACGTTTGTCAAAGATAGCGGGCTGACCCGGGGTAACGGAACTTCTCCCCTATTGCGGCATTCTCCCTTGCGGCATGCGGCAAATGTCACTGCAATTACCGTACTCACCCCGCCTCCCGCCAATCGATAGGACGCGATATTTTTCGTTGATTGCCTTGCTTTTTCATTGTATTTTATCGTTTTTTCTTCTGTTCCTTTTTCGTTTTCATGTTTATTAGACATTATTGATTAAATTGACTCCTTCTATATAAACGACGATCATAACCGCATTGGAATTGAAAAGAGCGGCAGGCCAATTGAAATAATTAAAGTACTCCCTACCTCCAATCTTCCATCGCAATCCTGCGATAGGCGGCAGGTGCGGCGTGTGCGACGCCGTGTTAGGAGAGAAGTTCCCGGACCCGGCTGACCGCCGCATGCGACGGCTGCGGCGTGACAGTTTCGATGGACGCGCGCAACGAAGCGCACCCCTCGGACGCACATTCGCACACATACCCCCATCCCCCGGCCCTTAGTCATCTTCATTATAGGAGCGTAATGATCACTCCTTAGGTTACACTTTTGAATACGTTTCAAGTTCAGGATCTTTGTAAGACATTCAGATCCATATGAGAAAGGAAAATCACAAGAGAATATTAATATTTATCACAATGCAAAGAACGATTTTGGACAAAATTTTTAGATCATAGAGTAGTAAACCCGTTTGAGTAGATCAATAGATAAAATAATACATTAAGTATGAGAATATGAACGTTTCAATTCTTTCATATGACAACCAAGAATTGAGCTGTAAATAAGAGTCAGTTCCTCAGAACATAATTTAGCTTGAGAGTAAACGAATTCAAGTCACTTATAAGTACATACGTATCATTAATGAGGATATAGACATGCTTGAAATCCAACTGAATCAGAAGACCGGTTCGCTTGACAAGATTCTGAAGGTCTTGAGTTGCTTGACGGTCATGGAGTATCCATCGGACTGAAAGAAACCGTCTCAATAGTGGAAAATCTGTCCACTCTTACACTCACTAAGGGCTAAAGCCCTCTTCTATTCGAAGCCACGATTCTATGGCAATTGTCTCACTACATTCATTAACAAATCGTACTCGTGTCCATGCGAATGCAGCGCTTAAAGCAATCACGGCAAAATCAGAATACAGGCGCTGGTGCAGTAATACAAAGCGCGCCGCAACCGCACGCGTCCGCGTTCGGCACTTTGTGCGTGTTTTTTTAGAAAACATGCAACATTGCATGCACTATGCATGCAGTATTCACCAATTTTCAGTTGAGAAAAGGTACACAACATTCAGTAACATTCTAATACACATGTATCGTTACGATACGTCTCGAAATTGGCGCTCACAGTCCCTTGGGTCGGATGAAGTTGGCGCTTTTTATAGAATAGGAAAGGGAAATAAAAACTAGGGTTCTGTGGACGCATTTCGAGATATTACCTTGAATGATCATGGAAATTCTAGCGCTTCAGTCGTTTCTTCCCAAAGAACGTTGCTGAACACGATAACCAACACGTATCGAAAGAAAACCGCACAAAAATTGATAGTAATGAAAGCGGTGGCATGTCAGGAAAAAAGGCAACAAAAAAGATAGAAACATAAGATATGTATAAACATAAAGCAGCTGCAATTGTGCTTCGATCGATAAACAGCATCTTCTATGAAAGACTTGAAATTACAGTGGAGTAGTTAAAAATGTGAACGGTAGAGGGAAACACTGGAAATGGTGAGACAATTTTTGCGGCCAACCGCTTCGAATTGTCCTACCCCCTACAGTAGCCTGAAACGGCGAAGGGCCGAATTCTGGGGATTAGGCACGTGCCAGTAGGAAGGAGACATTGTAAGGATGAATAAAGTTACAGTGCTTCTGATGAACTTAGAGAAAGCCTATCAACGTAAATCATCGCCCGACATCTGATTTCAGCCTTGCCTTTCTAGCAGTAGTTCATTGATGGACAATACCAGTTTCCTCTCAGTTCCACGATAAAAATAGTTTCTGAGTTATCTCCTAGGATTAATCTTTGACCTTCCCGTATAGCATATGTGGCGCTGTCAGATCGGATATCAGCCTGGGTAGGGCGTTATAAAGGTTCGAAGATTGTGTCGTCTGTATTTCACACCCGAGGCGGACGAGTTTCAATGGCATTGTGAAGGGTCACCATTACAGGGGTCACCCATTGTAAAAATTCAAACGACTGGTCGGGATCCGTGGCGGCAGTGGAGGGCAGGTCTGGACATTTTTGGCTCAAAATACTGCTCTTTACGCAGTCTTAACAACTCAGATCTTGTCCGAATATCCCTTCCGCCACCCCCCCTCATGGAGAACTCGTACGACCCCTATCTTCATCACTTTCAAAGCGAATCGCTGATTTTCTCGCTTTCTTCGACACCGATGCACTATTCTAGTTTGCTTCACAACCCAGAAAGTGTACCTCAAAATTATCGTGGACTGCGCTTTGAAGGACTTGATGACTGGTATTGCTTCCGTAGCATAGTAGCATGCCTTCCGCAATACCTTGCAAGAAGGCATGCTTCTGATCTGACGCCATTTTGGAGAGTATGTACTGGTAACATACACCTTTACAGGTCATGAGAAAGGGTCTCATATTCAATCAATGTGTTCGCGCCTTACTTAGTGACCGCGGATACATCTTCGGAAGCTTTCCTCCTTCCCCATTTAATAAACAGCTTCATCTAGAGAGCCCGGGATCCATTTAGGAAACTGTCTCAGTAAACTACAGTTTTCGTCTAACTAGTAGACAGCTTTCCTGAGCACAAAAGTTCCGTAAACTCTGAAATAAAGGTTTTCTGTAGAACTAACCGTTGTTGAGTGTTCGTGTAATGATTTCGAACAGCTCGTTGCAGAACTTCAATTTGAGCCCTCATCTCCTCTTGTGCCGATACTAAACGCTGCATTGAAAAATGCATTTCGGCCACCAGCTAAACAGTCCAAATTACAGCACTGGTTACTTGTTATTCCAACGAATCTACACATTCGTCAACCCCTTAAAACTTACCCGAGTTACTTGTTGGCTATTCGCAGAATTGTTTTCAGAGAATACTCGCATTTCGTTCTTGATGGCCCGGAAACTGGAAAATAAGGAATAATGAAGAAGAACATAAAAGTTAAGAGCTTTTCGTTCTGCTCCACTTACTCATGAATTGCACGAAGAAACTTCCGTTGATATGTGCGAAGTCGACTATCAGGGCCACATCGAAGGCACTTGTGAATGCGCCATGTCTGTTGCAACACCTATAGAATAAAAATTCAGTGAAGATCACTTCCTTCAGAGTACTCGGCATACTGAACTGATTAATGGCAAAGTGATAGCAGAACTAGCACATGGAATGCTAGTTCTGCTATCAGTATCAACCAAAAAAGAAGAAATGTTGCTAACTAACAGGTTTTACATCGCTTTCCTGCTAACTAAACAGCTACTTCAATCTTAAGATAAGTTCTACATGACTAGAGTCACTGAAAAGTTCTCTTTGATCCTTACTACTTACTAACAAGTTGAAAACCCAGTTACCTTTGCTGCAGCATTTTTGTGCTCTCGTGTCAACTTGCTATCATGCATAAAATTGTTCACATTACGTTGACCTTGTGATAATAGAATATTTCGTGAAATAACAGCAATAAGAATTGAGGATATAATGGCACCCTGAAAAATCAATAGTTGATCAATGAAAATCACACGACCATCCAAAGTGAATTTAAACCGGTACAAAAACAATAAACAATTGAATCAACGAAAGTAAGTCCCAAGTGCCTACAAAGTTGCCAAACAAAACATTGGACTTACAATAACTCCAACAAAAATCGCAATGATTCTTCCGGCATGTGTCTGTGGCACAATGTCACCATAACCGTTCAGCATGAAGGTGATAGCTTAAGTTGAGGAATTTAAAAATCAAATAAATACATCATCAGAACCCAATGAATCGCCTTCTTATGACGCTCCACATCTTTGACTTCCACTTTGGACAATGGGGGGAGGGGGGCTTAGGTATGAGTCTCACCCACGTACATATGTATGATGGTTGAAATCGGGCACATCTTGGTGAATGTCTACATTACGGTTTTCGCCCTCCTGGGGAGGTCTGGGATCAGGAAGGTGAAGAAGAGAGGTCGAGTTGCAGCGGAAGAACTGGACCCTTCAGGTAGCTTCGATCCCGTCGCCCTCGTTTGTAAAGTAAATCCAGAAGTAATGGCAAGTAATGCTCACCTATGAACCAGAGAGCATTGGAGTAAAGAATCGATGGTACGTCCTGATCGGCTTGTCCAAACCTAAACATCCGTTTACTGTTGAGTACGAGGAGGATGCATTGCTGATAACTTGAGCAAAACAACAGGGAACGAATTAATGTGAAGGTAATTGGTACAAGTAGGTAAGTACCTTTCACATTGAACAAATGTCCATGAAGTTACTATCCAGAATACGATAGTAAATGTTGTGAGGAAGAGAATGGGTTGTTGATCCAGTACGGTTTTCAAAACGAATGAGAAGTTCACTTGAATACGATTCAACGCAGCCAGTGTTCGAGTTGAAGCGTCCTGAAACAGTAAGTTTATACTATTTCCAGTAGGATGTCTCTGAAGGTGCTCTCAGGCCAGTGTCAATAAATCAATAAATTAAGGGACAATTGACACCTTCAAACGGAAGTTATAATTTAGGGCTGAAAGTAGGGGTGTTCTTATGAGGTAGCAACTTAGTTGAATCCTTCACCTGGAACTGTTTACTGTGTAAAACCATGAATCGAGCGAATAGATAGACACGTGAAAGCATTAGAATCGACAACGGCACATCGAGGGGGACCTGAAAGAGAAACAATTATCTGCTTGGCGTGAAAAACTCTACTTTTCAAATTAATGCGCTGCGGAAGTCTAGGAAAGGGGCATCTCGCAAAGGTCTGAAGAACTGAGATCGCAGTATCTCGAAAAGATAATTATTGCAAGGAAATTTAATGAGATAGGACTGAAAAGAGCGAGCGCTAACAGATATCATGGCTTGCGGGCGTGCAGCGATTGCTATTGGTTATCGCACATACGGACCATTCATCTTCGCCGGCGCCACGCCCCTCTGATTGGCGAATGGGTGCGTGTGTACTGTATGTGCAGGACAAGTTTACCGAGCCTAAAAACTACACAGTAACATAATTGACACACCTCCTTCATGTAAAACGATCTTCCATGGCTGGACTGCATATTTCGTGCGGTTTCTATGAATGACCATTGGAGCGAACCAGTACCTTGAATATTCAGTTATTTAGTTAGGCGACATAAAATCCAAAATTTGTGTGCCTGCCATTTAGAAGGCGAAATTCAATATTACCTGGAAGTGGACAGATCGCGCACAGCACAAATTCCGTGCAAAACTGTAGAGCCCGATCAGTTGTTACAACTACACGCCAGTCGTCAGCGCCACAGTCGACCAAATCAAGCTGTAATACCCACGGCATACATCGATCGATACATTGATTGATTGGGAATGTATTAAGGTAGTCTAATTACCACGATGTCATTGATGTGATACAATACGATTTGAACCAAAAGAGCTATGGTTGATAAGGCGACAAATGAACGAAGCATCAGTGAAACAGGATGAGCCTGAAATTATTTGGAATAAAGCAAGATGAGATTGAAGGCAAAGTTCACCATAATTCTGAGGTAATTAGTTCAAGTGAAATAGTGTGGCGAAAAAAGCGCGAAAACCGGCGGATTTTTAAAAAGGTTGTAAAATGTTGTAAGGGATGTACGAGATGGTCATCTCTAACTGCCTGGGTGTCTCTCACATGAACCTACTATTCGTCAGCGTCTCAACGCTTTACTGTGAATGGTGCAACCTTAACAAGGCCACCATAAAACTTTAATTATTGGCCAAGTCAGTTTTGGTGCCCTATTTACGCCCTCTCCAGGCCGTTTTCCGACCCCACAATAACCCATGTGCTAGGCTTGGAGGCCACAAGCTCATCCTAGGGAAGAATCTCAGAAACCAGTTTCATGCTTAACTGTGTTTCCAATAGGGAAAGGAGTCGGTACTGAATAATAATGGGGGAAGCGCCACCCATTTAGCTTCCACTTGGAATTCAAGAGATAGTAAGAAATATCTTAAAAACGTTCGCGAAAATGTTCTTGAGAATTTACATGTGCTTACTTTTGTGATGCCGAATAGATTTTGTCCAGTCATTTCAGCGTCGATCACCATCACAACAATACCCAACATGGCCAACACCAACGCTCGGTCTGTGATTTTCACTCTGAAAACATTTCATGTCCAGTGGGAGATTGGAGTTCACCACGGCAAGCGGCTTTCTGTCATGGGAACCTTTTAATTTTGATTTCAATTTCAATTTCAAACGGACATTTCTATACGTTAATGCATGCATTCTCACTCTTTTTCACTCAATTTCATTTTTATGATGATGACTTCTGCCTTATGAGTTAGGCACACCACTTAGAGTAAGAAATAAATAAACAAGCGAATAAAAACCTAATTCACAAGTACAATCTTTGTACTTTCCCCATTTGCCGTTCCCACCGTCTTGGATCTCTTCATTACTATGGTCGGTAACTTACCGATTACTGAGACGCTCAGATCGAACGCGATAGACCAACTTCACAGCTGAACTGTCGATAGGTACACCGTATCTAAAGGTCGTTATACAGCAACAATCAATATCTGCTACTGTCTTACAAGTAAGTATACCTGCTATTATTTCGTTTGAAATGGGCAGATGTTGGGTGACTACCGGCGCTGCCATTACTCTCACAGAAGGCTACTGTAGCTGAAATACTCTTCAAACGTTCCTTTTTACAAATATAACATTAAGCTTTTCACTGCTGCACATCCATTGGCCCAGAAGGGGGTAATCATCGTCTCAATATTGACAAGAGTAACAAATAAACCTACAATTCTCGAGGGAAGCCTTATGTGAGTCAACAAGGCTGTCTGTTATACTTGACTTGACCCGGTTGATCCGTAATTGTGAACCGGTATCTTCAACAGTGATCACGGGACCATGATGAGGTGTTCGATTCACTGAAATATATTGGTTGGATCATTACAAATACTAGTACCTCTGTAAGTTAGCAGTGATTGAATCAAAAAACTTGAGGGTTCATGAATCCGAACCATCGCGAATAAAGCTCTTCAGTGAAGTCCTAAGGTGACGGAGCTTCTCCCCGAACTCCCACGACCTCCGGCAGTGGGTCCGCGGCGATTCTTCGTATCTTTCCATTGGGAATTCAAATCTTTTCCTTCATAGCGCGCGATCGCGTGCGGCGGGCGCGACATGCCATTCGGGGAGAAGATGCCATGCCCGAAGTCTTACAAGGGAGACCGACAAACAAACAGACGGCGCCCTTCAAACAGACGGAAACTGGCATATCAAACATCAATAGGGTTAACAAGTAAGTAAGAGAGAAACGCTGAGTAAACTTCTAATCTCAAACCCAAATTCCCAACATCACAATTGGGAATATGAACATACAAAGTGTGAAAACTATTTTTGTGCTTTCGTACTTCTGCTACCTCTGCCGCGAGGTTGTTAGGTGGAATGTTTTGGAAGCAAATGTACTTCCATCTCGATATTTACCCCCAATACTGATATGCAAGGATCGCAACCGTGCTTTCTTAATATTTCTAAGATTTTGGTTTACTGAAGGGAAGAAACGATGTTAAAAGCGCGAGGCAGGTTGGGCGTTCGAAAGAACGGCCTGACTCGAATTGAATATTCTTAATGTCAGTTCCGTGTCAGGCGTGTAAACAGCTACTAATACTCGTCACATTGTGGAGGAATCCAAATTTTCTATAAGCATTCTTGATGGCATAATCGGACTATACCCGATTCCTAGAATGTTTCTAGGCTATATGTAGTGGTTGACGCGGTTCGAGAAAAGGTCAGGCCAGAATGGGAGTCGGGTAGTTATTTTAATTAAATCAGCTACCCCACTACACCCGAGTCTTTTTCTGGTCTATTTTTAGGGAATGATAGAAAGGGAGCACTATTGGTTCTTATGGGGTATGGTGCAGTAGGGAAAAAATTGTCGCGTCGCGGCAAGAGAGACGCCGCGTGCGAAGGAATGTTGTAGAATGCAGCAGCAAGTAAGAAATACAGGAAGGAAAAATTAACAGTAGAATCATGCCAAAAGTAATGATTGCATAGCGATTAAGATGTATGAAGAACGCTAGAACTGTTATAACGAAGCAAATGGTCCGCGACAGCCGCGTGCGGCGGATTGATCGCACAAGGCCGTTCCTAATGCCCGTCTCCCGTTCTTATGGGATAGCGGGGCTCATAAGGTGGCAATCGACATGAAAGAATAAGGGGCTTCTTTCATGGTGCAGCGTTAGATCATAACGGATCACCTCACTAAAGAACCTCAGCGTGAGCTGTTCTTTCGAGCCAAAACGTATGTTTTTCCTTCGATACAGGTCAGTCTTTGCTTTCGTTTTCCTATTCCTCTACCGCCTCGATCAAATGTTTTTTCACAAGACTGAATAACCTAAGCAGATCTTATTTTACCGGTCACCTTATCAGAAGAAACTTTAGTTATCCTGTTTACTGATTTCAGTGCAACAGGGGACTGCCTACCAAAGAGATGGCATAAAATAAAATTCATAGAAATTCCAGTTGGTGAAATACATCTACTCGACAGAGTTGATGTCAGACCACTTTGTGACCACTAGCTACGTAAATCGTTTTGGTCCTACACACGTATATGCTGTAGGGCCAAAAGGATTTAGGTAGCCCAAAAGAATTCGGGTAGCAAGCAGACCGCTGGAGATATTTACGATTTCGAAGTAAAACAGAGTGCTCCATGAAACAAAAGGCATCCCCTAATGGCTGCACTGATCAATTGAATGCCTTCTTCTTTGCCCATAGGGAATAACTGAGAGTTCAAATGACGAGAAAATTCTTACAATTTGAATCCAACGAGTCGCGACTGTAGTCGATCCTTGTATACGCTGGTGGTAAAGATCCTAATTTCTTTCTAGTTGACAATAAATTCCGGAATTGTTGTCGGCTACCGTTTAACCGGAGGAAATCGGCCGAAACCTGAAAATGGTGAAGTTTTAAAAATTTCAAACTGGGTAAAAAGTACTTGCACCACTCGTCAAACTCGTCCAACTCATCTCTCCATTTCTTTCTGACTCTCATCATCTTTCTGACTGTTACATAGGCAACCCCTGTCACTTCTAGTCATCGGAACAACCAGCTCTGACTTTAGCCGGACTACCTGATTTCATGACTCTCTCAGGAAGGGTTTTTTCAAGGTCGGGAAGGACAGGAAAACTCTAAAAACGATTCGTTTGAAAGTGTTAGAGGCCAAATTTCAAGGGAAAAAGTTTTCTAACTTGTATGTTGTACAGTGAACCTGCTGTATAGATCCCACTATCATTTGGATCGTGCCCTTTGAAACGATATTGAGATAGACGAATGCTAATTAAGGTAATAATGTCGGAATGGGAAAACGACGGCCTTTTCCCGATTTCATTTTCAGAAAATATCTAAGAAAGTGGCGTTCAGAATTCAATTAATTTTCCCATTTTGCTTTTCGACATTTGGCCGATTTCTGCTGCAGCTTTTTCTTGCATCAATGCAATTAAGACAATGGAGGCATCACTGAGCTCTCTGATTTCAAAATTTGCCTTTACATTGGATCGTGATGACCGAATTGATCCAAAATAATCTTGCAGTTACCGTAGGCAAGGACATGTCATGGGGAGGGAGGGAGGTTGGAGGTTGGGTTGGGGTGTGGTGCAGTAGGAACGAAAATGTCGCGCCGTGGCGGGCAAATGGCTCGCGACAGCCGCGTGCGGCGATCGATTGAACAGAACCGTTCCTACTGCCCGTCCCCTGTTGGGGTGGTCCCACCTAGGGAGGAAACGACCTTTCCCATGTCCCTCAGAAAACAGGGTGGAAGCAAACGGGATTGAAGGAAAGAAGATCATTTGAATCATTTTCTAGATCATTTGATAAAGGGTCAGTGGAACGAGGGATGAACCGCTAACGGATTACCACCAGAAAATCGTGAGAGAGGAAACTTCTGATGAAGAACACTCCCAGATGATGAGGTAAGAATCCATGATGGTTCCGGAATGGGAGGAAAAACTGTGGAAGGGAGTTCGGCTGGTAACTTACGTCGAGATCGTGGGGGTGGTTCAAGGTTCTCAGGGTAGGCAAATAAATGCCAGGTGTTGTGGGACGTTACATTGTTCCTGCATAAGTAAAAGTTAAGCAGTAATCAGTACGAATCAGTGCATTCTGGATATGCCAAGGATCAGAATGCATACGGAATCCATGTTCAATTGAAAGGGTGTATATACATGTACAAGTTTTCTTGTAAAACCTTTCAAAACGTATCTAACAAGTAACATGAATCTCTCTTACAATATTGTTCCATTCAGTAATTAAAAAGTATTTTTATAGTTGAAGGGGGCATTAATGAAAGATGAGCAAGGAGTGAACGACAAACGAACCTCTTGAAGGCACGAATCCCGCCTACGTCCAGGAGCCGGCGACGATAGCTGCTTCATGCCTCAACTTGCACACAATGGGTATTGAAGTTCAAGTTTAAATGAACGGCACAAAAAGTTGAAAAATACGCCGCGAGTAGACAATAGCTGTGGAAACGACGCAATCGAATACTACTTATGACCTGGGCGGCAAGTGTATGAGTCAGGAGACGCCATAGTATCAAGTAGGTCACTGGGCGCAAAGATTGCGAGCTGCCTCTCTCCATGGCAATATCAAAGTATGGACAAAGTTTTGTTATTCGAATAATGTGCCAAGCAAAATGTCGAAGAGCAATTTTGTGCGTCAGAATCGCCCGAAACGACCTTACGCTGGGACCCAGTTTCAACGCAACAATCGTGACACCCGGGTCAACCTGATGGCGCTTCCTGACCTTATCCGGACACTAAGAATGATTCCGAAGAAACAGAAGATTATGAATTCAAGCTGCTTCGCATATAATTATGGAAGCAATTGGATTATTGGCGTAGGATTTCTGCAAAAAAGTAAAAAAGGATCAGAGTTAGTCGTGTTGCCATACCACGCACGGCTGCTAGCAAAGGATACACAGAATTGACATTTGAGCCTATAGGAATGAGCAAATAGTTATATACTGTGACTAGGAGCGCGAAATAAAAAATAATAATAAAAAAGAAAGCAAAAGTCAATTAAGGCTAAACGACTTCAGTACAGGAAAAGGCAAGGTTTTCAATTTGTTTCATTATCGTAATAGTGGACGCTAATTCATATCGTGCTCAAAGGATGGTAGGACATAGATTCTGAGCGCTTCGAGTATTCGACAATCCTGCATACCTGATTCTTCCAGACCACTGGACAAGAATGAAGCGGAGCATAATTTTGCCCCTCGTCGCTCCTATCAATATGAAGGAGCAAGAATTTGATGTCGCGTCCTGACCTAATGGCACACGCCTTTTATAGAAACCAAGCATGCCATCGAAGAGGCGATGAATTCATCAATCTCTGATTCTCCAGAATTCCAATCAGCTTGTTGCGTGAGAGGAGCCTTCCACGAAGTACAGAAAGAGAGTGGCATAGGTCGATGGTTGATAGCCAAATAGAGTGTGGAACAGCTTGATCCAAAGAGAACTGGGTTAGAAGGATCCCCGATTACCTTCACGGAAACAAATGGCAGCTTACAATATAAAAATCCTAAAATAAAAATTCTATCCTTCCAGATGAGATAGATACTATTTAACAGACCCAGGAGGAATGGAAAGGTCGGCTAGCTCAGGAGGATATCGAACCAAGGTTCAAACCCATGACCATGCGTGAGTGACAGTGGGCCAATTGTCCCCAGACCACCTCAACCCTTGAGAAAAAGGAAAAGAATTAATACAGAAAATATCTTATGTAGTTCTTTGGCTCCATAGAGAAAAGCGGGTGAGACAATCTATTGAACCTATTATTGAGAGAGCTGATGGGGCTGAATACTGATGCCATATCAAAGAAAAACTACTATAGACAGCTACTTAGGCTAATGGATGTCAAGATCTCCACTGACAATGACATTCTCGGACACGTACACCACGGATGAGTAAAGACCGCAAACTATGCATCATCAAATGGATGAGTTGGGGGAGGTCGAAGGAGGCATCGTTCATTTATGCTCATGGGTAATTCAGTGGCAATACCTTGAATACCTAATTTAGAATTTACGTTTTATAACTTTATAATTATATTATTTATATTTTATTTTATTTATAATTTATAATTTAATATTTTTATAATAATTTACGTACCGCAGATCAGAGCTCAACCAACTCATCCACGCCCTACTGATTCTTTTCGTTACCTGGTGGCATTTCTCGGAAAGTAGGCCCAACCAAAACCTAGTCTATCCAACTGTGTCAGAAGAGGTTAGGCTTTTCGATTAAACCTCGAGAATGGGGAGTCTATAGTTGTCCGGGCACCGTGCCATTTTAGGAGTCACGGTGCCCGGGCAATACAGGTGTCGAATCTTCTACGCAACCCGGGATCGGAATCCATCTAGTTCATTGAGACCTTACCGAACATTACTGCAATGTCTGCTAACTGGCTAACTGGTAGCATTTCTGGGAGAGAAACGATAAGCAAAAAGGAGTTGATTTAGCTGTGCATGAGCAGAAGCTTGAGTACGACAAACTTGTCCTTCACCGGCTCAAGGAGACACGGTACCCGGACAATGCAGGTGTCGGCTCGAGTCTCCTTCAGAAACGGATTTTTTGCCCAATTTCAGTAATCTTAAAATGGACTTGAGGGAGGAATGTCAAAAGTTAACAGCCTACGATATGAACATTGGTCAAAACGTCTGCGAAACTTCTAGAACGTCTAGAAAGTCAGGATAGCGGTGATGCAGTCAATAACGTCGTTGACATGTGAAAATGATGCCGCCGCCATGCAAATTTAGAAAATGAGAAGTTTTCAATTAAGGGGGAATTCATCGGCGATCATCTGAATGCCTATAATGAAAGGCGACCGCGTGCACTAGCCATTTGTTCTCGAAATAACGTACGGGAAACATTGATGAAACAGACTTAATCTATGCACATGATATTAGAATCACACTGGCCTTTCAGAAGACGAAGGCTTTCGCTGCGGGAGCCCATGTGTTTTGAACTAAAAACACTGAGGCATGGTGGTTGACCTGGTTGATCTAAACAAACACAAAAAGATGCGCCACACATTCAAAATTCATTTTGTTCCAAAACCATTTGGAAACAATTTCAACAGAAAAGGGGCGGTGGTGTAGTGGCAAGTGGCGCACTATCACACATACATGGTCACGAGTTCGAATCTCTAATCGATACCCGCCTAGGCCGACCAAGCCTTCCATCCCTCTAGAATCGGTTAACTGGTAACAGATTCTTCCGGGAGTATAAAAGCCCTGACTTGTACTTCGGTTTACCACAGCAAGTCTTTGTATGGGCCACACATGCATTCAATACGACACTACGTTTCCGAATAGAAGTGGAATGCGGGGCTCATCCCTCAGGCGGGATTGATTAAGCCTTCAAGACTTTATCCTCTATCCTCAGACTGAAGGGAGGTAAAGCACAGGCGGTGGGAAGAAAACCTAGTGATGACCAAAGAGTATGAGCTGCGCCTCTCCCCGTTGCACCGACCCTAACACATTCTAATCACTGGGACCATCATAAGCAAACGTGATGGAGAACTATATGTTCTATAAAAGGGAAAGTAAAAGGCTGAAGTTGAGTTCGACGGTAATTGGAATGTTTTTAAGCCAACGGTGCTCTACGAGTACATAAGTAATTTCGAAGCAAACAACTCAACGACTAGACCACCAATAGATGCCCTGAATAGAAAGGATTTTGCAGGTCTGAATCACACAAAGCCGCCCTGTCCTCACAATGGCCAGTCGGAAACGATTATAATTTTCGTTTTCTTCTCCTCAGACGTGCTTTGTGAGGGTTACGCGTCGCGTAAGATTCCAGATCGGTGGCTGCATGAAAATCGTTCAAATTCACGATTTGTAGACGAAGCAAACTAGAGGCATAGTTTACGTCAAACACGGTTTCTAGGATTTCTCCCTAGGATGAGCCTGTGACCTCCAAGAATACCCTACGGGACGCTTTCGGGTTGAAAAATAGTCAAGATTGGGCGTAATAAAGGCCCCTAAAACCAGCTCAGCCAAAGTACACATCCGAGGTCAGCGAGTTGTTGAACGGTGCAGAAACTGTAGAGGTTGCATCATTCGCACCGGGACCCACAACCTGCACGCAGGCAGCGTATTGCGGTCAGCTGTATGCAATGGCGCGCGCGTTTGAACAGCTCGCCTAGATATTCATTCCATGCAGGGTTTCTCGTAACATCCTCGTCCAGCCCCTACCTTTACTTATTTTTTGAAGCCTCATATTTCTCTAAATACGCCGATTTTCACGTTTTTTTCTCCAATTTTGCACTATTCTGGACTGTCACTTCCATTGCTCGTTCAAAACTGGGTAACCCGGAAGTATCGTGAACTGCGTATTCAGAAAAGATTGAGCATTCCGGAAACCTTTTCTAAATATGGCGACAAGCCGTTTTAGGTTTCTTCCCGATCGAATGTTTTCAAAATTGGCCTTTATTTGCCTTTTGCGGGTTTGACATCACAAAGCCGCCCTGCCCTGACCGGAAACGATTATAATCTTCGCTTTCTCCCCCTTAGAGGTGTTTTTTTACATTTACGTGCAAGATTTCGAGTGTGTGACTGCATGAAAACCCTTCAGATCCAAGACGTGTAGACGGAGCAGTCAAACTTGAAGAACTCAACACTTCAGAAGACTGTCCTATGGCTGAAAGAGGCTTGGCACAGGTGTTCCATCAGATTGGGTTATAGCTCTTTCTATTTTCTTCCTGGCTGGACATTTTCAGAAGTAGCCCTTTTTTTTGTTCCTCCTCTGAAGTGAACTAGAGCCTGATTTATTAGTTGACTAGCCCTGTTCCCCATGAAGCAATCCCCGTGTTATAACTCCTAATGTTGCTCTACTTTCGAAGTAGCGTAACTACAAAAACAACCGATCAATTCCCTCATGAGCTCAGGCTCATCAAATCGATTACATCAAGCTCCTAGGTCTTAAGCTCCACATCCGTGTGACGAAGTGATTGAAAAAGCGGCACCTTCGAACAATTATCTCTACCTAGAACACTTTACATTGTAAATGTTAGCACTGAGTGAGTCAAAATAGGACAAGGACTACGTGAGATATTTATTGTATTTGTTCTTTCTCCTTTTTCCAAAGTTTGCGTGTGGTGAAGTGGAAATTGGCGCACTGTCACACGCGCACGGCCATAGGTTGGAATCCACGATCGATATCCGTCCTGGCCGACCGAGCCTTTTATCACTCCGGGGTCGGTTCATTGGTACCAGACTCCCAGCTCCCAGACTCGTGTGGGTGGGAAGGGGGGGGGGGNGGGGGGGGGGCGGGGGGATGAATGCACTGAACTGAGCTTTACATCAGCGCCTTGTATGGCTATTCAATACGCCAATACAAATCTGAATGGAAGTCAAACGCGGAGCGCATCC